AGGATAATATAGAGATGAAACCTGCTATTGAAGGTCAGGTTTTACATCAAACGACATGTGTGGCGACCTTTTAGATAAGTCATTACACGATATAAGACTTTTTTAGTGTTCCAAGATAATGTTTAACAACTTTACGAAAACAGTTAGCTATGTGGGATATTAATTTATCAATAGAAACGGGTATTTTTAATGTCAAGTGATAGCCATAAGACAAGACATAAAGCTTTATTTAGAGTCGGTATGTGCAAATACAAGTATAAAACATAAGCTCTGAAGAGCTTTTAAAACCGGCAGAGCAACAAATAAAACTAAAGATACATATCAAGTCATGCACACATAAATTAAACATATAAAGCAAGAGTTCATATCAGTATATAAACATGCAGCACAAAAGTTCTTAAAAGCATCGAACAAGTTAAACACACAATGAAACATGCACTCGTAAGGTAAAAGCACAAAAGCAAAAATAAAATGGTTTGCACATTAAAAGCACATATAGATTAGTTAGTTACTAAAACTAGCACAAAGCAGCAGAAGCACTATAGAAAAGATAATAAAATAAAAATTGCCATGCTGAAAATAAAGTATTTAACCAAAAATAATGAACAGAAATTAACTGGTTTTGCAGGCAAAACATTGGCATGAGCGGCCAGACCAAGAATTTATCAAGTTCTTGAATTGATTTAAAGATGATTGCTTACGTAGCACATCTGGCAGCTCATTCCAAAGCTTAGCACCTGCATACCTTAAAGATTGTAGGCCGTATGCAGTTGTTCTTACATGTGGTAGATCGGCTGTATTCTGGTATCTGAAAGAGTAAGTGTATTAAATCATGGAGATAAACAGGACAATCTTTATTAATAATTTTGAAAACTTCAATAGCCAATGATCGCATTCTTCTTATTTTTAAAGATGGTAATTTTGATTTGCAGAGTAGATCTTCATAACTTGCTGAATAGTCTTCATATATAAACCTTAGTGCTTCTCTTGAATTTTCTCTATCTTTTTTGTATTAACCTCCCCACAAAAGTGCCAAACTAGTGGGCAGTAATTAAAGTTGGACATTATGAAAGAATAATATATTGTTAATTTTCCGAGTTTAGTCAGGTGTTTTCCTATTCTTTTTAATACATTTAACTGTTTGGATGCTTTTTTACATATTATAGAGACATGCTCATTGAAATTTAGTTTAAAATCTATTGTTACGCCTAGAAGTTTAACGTTATCTTCACATTCTATTTCATTACCTTCTAATTTAAATTTTAGGTTTTTGTCTTTAGTTTTTTTTCCTACAGCTATTGCTTGAAATTTTTCTGGATTTGCTTTCATTTTATTTATTGAGAACCAATTTATCAAAATTTTGCTTTCATCTTCTAGAGTATTAATTAATTTATCTAAATCTTTATCTGAGTATGAAAGGGTGTTGTCATCTGCATAATTATAGAGTTCACTTTTATGAATAAAAAAGAAAATGTCATTTAAAAAGATATTAAATAATGTTGGCCCTAATATCGACCCTTGTGGCACCCCTTTAAACATTGTTTGCCAGTAGCTTGAATGAGTACCTACTTTAACACACTGTTTTCTATTAGTTAAATAGCTTTCCAAAAGTTTAAGAGAAGAAGCGGAGACACCATAGGATTTTAATTTTAGTAGGAGGAGGTCATGGGGTAGGCAGTCAAAAGCCTTGGACAAGTCCATTAATATAGCTGCTACATATTTATTCTGATCTAAAGCCTTTTTCCAATCTTCAATTATTTTTAATAAAGCGGTTTGGCATCCGTATCCTTTTCGAAAAGCTGACAGAAAAATGTGGAAAAATGAATTAAAATATTCCACAAGTTGATTTTCTATAGACCTCTCAAATATTTTTGAAATCATGGGCAATATACTTACAGGTCTATAGTTTCCTTTATCTAGAGTGTTTGATTTTTTATGCAGAGGTATTACTTGTGCTTCTTTTAATTTATCTGGGAAAACAGCTAATTCAAATGATTTATTTATTAATTTAGAAATTGGATTGGATAGTTCAGATTCAGATAATTTTAATATTTTTGAAGAGATTCCATCTTTTCCTGTTGCCTTTTTAATGTTAATTTTATTGATTTGTTTTTTTACAAACTCAGAATTTACTGGGCTAAAACATAGTTCTTCTTTTTCTGGTTTGTTTTCTTTTATAACCTTAATACTGGGATGGGATAGCAAAATTTCTCACGTTTCATCTCGCAGTCATTATTTTCATGCATCATTCAGTAATAAAGAAACTAGCGTGTTTTCAGGAGCTAGACATTACAATCAATTTACTAATCTAAGTGTCTTTTATTGCCAAAAATGACACAAATTTCTACGGAGTTACTTCCCCGCTAACGTAAAAGGTTAGGTTTCAGCTGTGTGGTTCCCATTGAATGCATGATGATTTTAAAAACAAATATTTAATGTACAAAGTTCACATGACCAAAATGTGAAAACATGATAATACCTGTATTTACTTGTGCTGAACAGCGTAGACATCAAGTTAAGTCATAAAAGCACATGGAAGCAAGAACTTTATTCTTTTAACATAGGATTTTTAGGAGGTTTTATTCTTTCGCAAAGAAATGTCTGAATTTCAAATAGACAGAGTTGCCCTTCATACAAATTTGACACGAAATAGTTCAAAATACCACTTGATTTTAAGAACAAATATTTATAATGTACAAAGTTCACATGACCAAAATGTGAAAACATGATAATACGTGTATTTACTTGTGCTGAACAGCGTAGACATCAAATTAAGTCATAAAAGCACACGGAAGCAAGAACGTTATTCTTTTAACATAGGATTTTTAGGAGGTTTTATTCTTTCGCAAAGAAATGTCTGAATTTGAAATAGACAGAGTTGCCCTTCATACAAATTTGACACGAAATAGTTCTAAAATACCACTTGAAAAATATAAACAGTATGTCATATTTCACTATCAGAGAAATGACACATCTAACAATTTTAAGCCATTGGGTTCTTACAAAAATAATGCAATACGATTTTACAAACATAAAACACGAAAGGAACTATATTTGAGGACAACTGATTACGAGCGACCAAAAAGCTAAATTTTAAAATTGCTGGTAGTTACTTTTTTACTATTGCTTTCTTTTGATTTGTTTATCTGAATATGCATATCAAATCATACATAAATACACACTTACTGCGTGTTAAATGATGGTTATATTTTTGTTTTCTTTTGAATTTCTTGTAAATTTCGAATCAATAATTTGTTGAACTTGTACTATTAGTATCAAGCTCTTGAATCCAAGAAGGAAGTGTACAGTAAGCTGCTGCTATCAGACACTTTTCTCTTGTAATCGATACATCCTGCATCCGTTATTATCATTTTTCACGATGGAAACCAAAACTATATATATATCTAACGTCAACATGAATGTCATAGGGGGGCAAACTTCTAAAGGATGCAAGCAAAAAAAATTCTCAGTCTAATAGTCTCGAAGCTAGTCAATATCCTCTTTCATTCCTATTTTATATTTTCAATGCTCCTACGCCCGGATCCGACGCGATCCTATAGCAATATAAAGAATCAATCGAGTATAGAATACCAATATACTATCACATGATTTACCGCCTCAGTGATCTCGTGGTAGCATGCTTACAGCGAGTGTGGGAGGTCGTGGGTTTGACTCTGGCTGGGAAAAACAAGACTTTATATTGATATTTGATGTTTCTCCTCTAAGTACGCGCATTTAGGAGTAAGAGCAAAGACTGGTCAGCTCGATGTCAGAATAATGTGTCCGGTATGCCCTGTGACATGTCTTCTTGCTGATTGTAAGGTGTGAGCTATCACGTAAAACATCTATCTCAGCGTGTCGGTCTGGTTCAAATAAAACATAAAAAGGATAACAGGAAATAAACCTGGGCAATACAACAGAACACACCAACCATGCACCAACACCCAACTCCTCAAGTTCTTATTCTTTTCCTGTCCTGAATATGCATGTAAGTTGCCACTGGACGTTAAGCAGTCATCATCATCATAATAATCATCGGTAGGGGATGTTTCATTTCTGATTGAATCATTTCATCAGCAGATTATACACAAGCAAGTGAGATTAATTTCCATGTACTTGTATAACTCAAAGCGGCAAAAACCAGGAAGTTATTCAACCAAATGAGAATTTGTATTTTAAACTTTGAGTCTAAATAATCAAGATAGCAGATTTCAACAATTTGAAATCGCTCCACAAAATCAAAATGGTATTCCCTATTTCACATTGCTATTGAAAACACTGTTGATACAATATTTTCAAATTAACAAGTTTTTGTAAAATTTTGCCTCGTAACACATTTATTGAATCAAAATGATTTGGTTTTTTGGGTAGTTTTTTTTATTATTAATTTTTAACCGAAAAACAATACAAAACCCTACTTCTTTATTTTTGGATAAATACAAAAAATAATATGCCAAAATCAGTCCAAATCGCAAATGTACGAACACTCTGTAGGCCTTCTAAGTACGTCATGAATGTTGTTATGACCTCAATATGCACTGTGATAGTACGCATGTTAGTGAAGATTGAAGATTCCCCTTTGAGTAATGCCTGGTGCGAAGTTAATTCAGGTGAAATATAGGTCTTGTCTTTTTTATTATGTTCCTGAACGACTATCCTTGACTAAACTTGGAACTCCGATCACAGAAAAAATAGGTTAAGATATCACACATATTGACATGCAGTTATTTGGAAAATCAAACGACAAATAGAACACAAGTTTCCTCACATGTTTTTCAATATATCAATGTAATTTGTAGAGAGAGAAAAAAGAAACCCCTTAGATTAATTCTAATCTTCATAATTGTTCGGGGATAAAGAAATCAAGATTTTGTAATATGAAGTTGATAACCCGAGATTATTTAGTTATTCTTAAGATAACACGTTCTTCATCTTACACCTGCCTCAGGTAACATTTTACGTGGTCATATTATGTGAAGTTTTAGTTGAACCAATGCCAAGGCTGACTTTTACAATGGATTGTAACCACTGAAGAGTGTACCACTCAATTGATTGTCGTATCATAAAACACTTGTGATACGACTTACTTGCATAACAGAAGCTTGAGAAATATACACGATCAAGTAGTTTCATTTTCATCTGGCATTCTCATTATAACTTTACCCTGGGACACATATCATAAAGGTTTATTTACATATCGTGTGTATACTTATTGTAAAATCAGTGTATTGCGTGATGTGATTATTCGGACTTATAAATAACCACTTCAAAGGGTCAATTACAATGAGGATTCCGAGGAATTTAAATATTTCAATACATCACGGAAGGAGTTGACTAACCTCAAAAATATCATTTTTAAATTGTTAACATGGATAACGGAAGACAACGAGCCCATTCTGCTTCATCTCTTAAGTCTTTACATATTTACGGTCCGTCATCAAAGTGGACCAAACGACAGGCTCGAAGTACACCCGAACTTCGACTTTATATGCAACAATCAATGCTGAGTGGATTAAATACAACAGTACCTCAAAGTTTAATACCTCAGGATTTTGCAAAAACACACAAACCAAAGACACGATCATCAAAACGGAAGGGATGTTGTAATGGGAATTTCTGTCGTTCTTGTTGCTCACTCAGACTGTTTCTGGTTTTCTGGCAGTTGATATTAGGAGCAGCAATCACAGCTATGTCATTCTACTTATATTATTATGTGTCCGATTCATTAAAGATTAGAGACACTCCATTCTGGGCTGGAATACCGGTAGGTATATTTTATTAAGTATCATTTTGAAAATATTTTTACTGTAAAAAAAATCGACTATACTATAGTGTATTTGTTTACATTCCCGACACTTAAAGGTCACCACCTGCTGTAAAAATCAGACCTGTCCTATATATTTTTCTACATTTTTATGTAAGTCTACATAGTTCGGGGCATAATAAATCATATACAGGTAAAAAATATGACACATTTTATGTATGCTTTTTACACTACATGTAATCTGAAGAGATTAGTCGGTTTATTGCACGTTTTAATTATGTAGAAAACAGGATACAGTGCATACAAAAGCTATGAAATAAAAGTGCCAGAAATAATGATTAGTCCAGAAGCCAGAAGCCATAGTATGGGAGTGAACTCCATACATCAGAAGGTGTTTTGGCCCTATCAAGTTGCCCTCTTCTTGACTTTTTTCTTCAATATTATGTGGGTTCCTGAGGAAAGAGAGTAAGTAAACCAGATAATTAAGGAGGACAAGTCATAAAAAGGAAAGACAAAAAACTCCCCTATAAGAAAGTGGGTTGCAAATACAGTTATTGGACAACCATTTGGTATTTAGGGGAGAGTGGGATTTTTCCAGATTGATAAATTATTTTATAATTGGTTGCTACGCATGCTTATTTGTTTTCGTGTGCAAAGTCAATTATTTTCAATTCTTACCCTGCCAAATTATTCATTTTCAAAAGCCTCCTGTCCCCTACAGAAAATAAATGGTCATCCCTTTAGATACGTTAGTCCGAATTTTTTATACCAATTTTAAGAAACTTTTGACTGAAAGTGTTGCCTCTGTCTGATCCGCCGCTTATGGAGAATGAGCTCTGTTTGTTTGTACATGGTAAATAAAATTGTCCCATTTGTTTACTTAGCACACTGTTTAAGTATGATTTCTATAACAATGCATAGTCACGAATTTATGTAAATTCAATGTTATATTAATTCTGTTAATTATTGTGTTTATCAAATAAAATTCCTTAACATATGGTATAACTTATCTACGAGATAGAAGGCTTATTAATGTACTACAAAAACATTTCAGGACATTATTTTGCAATATCAAACATATTCATTGAGACTTACCTATACATTATTTTGTATTTTTAGAAAGAATAACTTTGCGTGAAAATACAAATAAAATTAGGTGGAAATGTAACTTTTACCAGAATTAACTTTTTGCATGTAGATAATTATTTAGTTCCGCTCAGCCTAAATATACAGGATATAATTTAGTAAACTTGTCTTATCCGTTCAAGCCATTTCCAACTGATTTTACAGTTGTTCTTATGTTGTGCTGTTACACCACTTGCTCAAGTTAGGGGGAAGTAGAGCGCTCACACAATCATGTCTAACACCGCCACATTCTATATGTGCCTGTCCCAAGTCAGAATCCTGTAATTCAGTGGTTGTCGTTGGTTGCTGTGTTTTATACATGTATTTGTTTTTCGTTTATTGGTTTGTCATAGATCTGGCCGTTGGTCTCTTCATTTGAATCGTTTCACATTTTGTCATGTTGGGACTTTTTATAGCTAACTGTACGCTATTGGTTTTGTTTATAGTTGACTGACGTACGTTTACATATAGTTGCTTATATCCTCGTCATTTGGACTCTTGTTTGGTAGTTGTCGTTGACTTTCCGTTTTGAATTTTTCTTGGAGTTCGGTATTTTTGTTATTTTGCTTTGTATACATCATTGGGGGAGAAGGAGATTTGATGTGAATTATCAGGAGAACGCAATATCCAATGGTATACTTGAAAATATATATATATTAAAACTATTTATCAGGTGAACAGTGCTCTTATTGCCATTTTTTTTTATCATGGCAGACACTGAATGTCTATGCGACGAGCTCATGAACTCACACCATAAAATCTTAAAAATACTGCACTCGTTGACCGGATGTATAAATGTTATGCATTTCCAAAAATCAAAGGGCGCTCGTGAAAACATGAAAATAGGGTTGAGACTGAATACAGATATTATTATAAGAATTGAAGACACTTTTTTCTGTCGTATATCCCCTCGTAGACCCAGATTATTTCTTCCTTTCGAAATTTTTGTGCCAAAAATTAATAATCCGATCTCGGACAAAAAATCGAAATATGACAAAATATTAGAGCCCCTTTGTCGTGACATTCCTTCCAGCGTGTGGCAAGTATCTCGTAAGACAACAGATCATTTATTACTACATACCAGTCACGTAGAGAGTCGATAAATTAACCATTTTGTATAGATAACCTGCAAGATTCCTACAAACATGGCATATCTGATTCTGATAGTATAGATATTTCGTTGTTACATAAAAATTACAGTTAACAGCTATACTATGACGGATGTGATAATTTATTCATTAAAAGGGAACTTTAGTGGATACGAATTTGTGGTTTGCAATGAATTCAAAGGATATAATCTTATCTATCCGAGATCACATTTGTGATCGAGAAACCAGTGTAATATACGATTTACATAGAAGAAATATATATTCATTGTTTTTGTCTCTATTGATAGATTTCTGAATGAGTTTTTGATCAACTTACAAAGAAAAGAATTCTTATTTGTTTTGTCATCTCAACTAGTTTTGTTCAGCTGTTGGGTGCATCCAGTGAAAAGTTACTTTTCTTATATAATAGGTCATACATTGTTTACGCCGGTAACCATTCTGACTAAAAGTAACTTTATTATTTCTAAACCACAAACCCACATTTTTAAGAAATTATCTGTTCAGCAAACTATGTTATTTGAAATTTTGTAGCCTGGCATCCTGGCACATCACTGCCAAGCAGTGCTCGATCCAGGATCACAGGCTATAAAATGTTGAGGATTTTTCCGGAATAAAATTTGTGTATCTTGCCACTAGTCATGCCTTACTGGAACTCTTTACAATCTTTAAAACGAACCAGTCAGGCCCGAGTATAAGATAACTGGGAATGAAGACAACTCAGATCGTCTATAGAGAAAAGTTGGACAGTCTAAAGATATGTCCGACCATCTATGGAGACAAGTCGGACAGTCTGTAGAGACATGTCGGGCCTTCTATCAATGAGAGGCAAATCGAGCCCTCCTTCAGACAATTACAACTAGTGTATTATTTGATCGATACGAGGAGATGTATTGAAGACAGCTTGGACCGTTTTATGGACACAAATGGGACCGTCAAAAGTGACAATTTAGTCCGTTCCGTCTCCAACAATGAGAAAAACCTAAGGCATGATAAAATATTAATCAATTTAAACAACAAAACCAGATACTGATTTATGCTAAAACAATAAGCTTAAATCAAATAGTGCATGCAAAAACTACTGAATTTGAGATTTTGACTTAGGACAGACACATGTCATGTAATCTATAGTTACATTTGTAACTTCTATGATATTTGGTCTCTGGTGAAGAGTTGTCTCATTGGCAATCATATCACATTTTCTTCTTTTTATATTATACATAACCTTTCCTTTGAACAGGGACAGGAGTGTGAAAGCTTTTCAAATTGTAAAAATCAGTTGAAAAGGGCTTTCCTCATCTAATATGTACGAGACACATAAGCAAAAGACAAAAGAAATAAAGCATCGATCCAAGAGACTAGTAGTTACTAAAACACTATAGTTGAAAGCTCACTAGCTAGCTTTAACAAACAAGTAAATCATGGTCCGAGGACACAGATATCGTCCTTTGATTTTCACAAATATAGTCCGTAGTGTGGACCATGTATAAATTGCTTTTTTGTCATACACTTTCTAAATTTATTTGTTTATATTCTATGCATGAAATATTAAGTAGGGGGATGAAATTACATGTTAAAAAAAATTGGGTGTTGAATTTTTATGTAAAGTAGTGATTTGGTCCAGTCAAAAAAGGTCAAAAATTAGTATGTCTGGAGCTGTCAAGCTGAATTATAGACCCCCTTAACATAGAATTATCCATATTTTGAGTTAGAGCTGGTAGACTTTTCTATAATTTTGATATTATATGTCCAGAAAAGTAGTACACTACACTGTAAAAATCTTTTTGAAATAGAGCAGGTGCGATTTTTTTAATTTGAATTTATTGTCTAAAAGAAATCCACTACGAAATAACACTTAAATATCAATCAGTATACACTAAATGGAATAAGTGTAAAAACGTTATAAACCTACCTAGAAAAGCATGGCCTTGACCGATACCAAATATAAGTATCGACACAATACAGACAAAAAGTGTTCATAACTGTACATAGCAATACATATAATTAAGTTATGTTTTCATTAGATGAATACGTGTTAGTAAGTTTACTCATGCTTCTTATTTTACATAGAATAATTTATGATCATTTTTTTAATCTGAAAATACAATAGATATTTCTTAACAAAGATACATTCCATCACACCATAATGTAAAAAAAATTAACTTCTCTCACATCTTTGAATGCAGCTTTAGTGTACTGTCATTTTGTCAGAATATACTTTATTTTTTATCAAAATGCTTCTGGGGTTAATTGTTTCGCTTAATGAATAAAGCATTGTGCGTGAGGTTTGAACAAATTTTAAGAAAAAAGCAATATATTTGTTTACAGTCTTTGAAAAACAAGTCAAACTGCATGCCACTCATGGTCCCTATTTGAAGTCAAGTTTGCTAGCTAAACAAGACATCATATTTTTATATGTAAATCCGTTTACATATAACTGCTCAATTTTAATTGAAATACTCCATCACAACAATGAGATAAAGCATGCACTGTAACTTTGAACTAGGTGATATAATAAGAGGTTTCAAGTACCTTCCATCCTTTGTTCATCATCAAAATGGATGGTCCTGGAAATTTATCTAGCACTTTGCCGTTATTATCCTTTAAATAAAATGTATTTATTTGCAGTACACTTCATACATGTATCTTTCGATTGCTTTCTTTTCCATCGGTAATAGACATTTAGATAAACTAAGTGATTTCTTGGAGGCTTGTTTTTCAACATGCAAGATTGCCAATGAGACAGTTATCCACCACAGTTCAATTGGAGTGGATATAAGCAATTATAGGCCACCGTATGGCCTTTAACAATGCGAAAAACCCATACCGTACAGTTGGCTATAAAGGGCCCCGACATGAAAAATGTGAAACAATTCAATCGAAAAAACCAACTGCCTTATTTATAACAGAACAATTTACGAAAAACATATATGACAGACATAAGCCGAGTCTGTAAGTCTTTTAAAATGCGCGTGCTTTAGATATTAGAATGACGATATTTACTTCTAGTCTCTATTCATTACTGTATATAACAGCTAGCTACTCATGCTTCTAGTCTATATTATTGTATCTAACATTTAGCTACACATGATTGTATTTAAAGAATATGAAACAAATCGCCCTAAGGATCTGGGTGTATCTATAAAACATTATAGTCATATCCACATTGTAGTGTAATCATTTTGATTAAGTTATTAAAATACTATATCTGTATTGTAGATAAAACAAAATGAGTTTCTGTTTTGTAGATATGAATAAATACAGGCCATGTGCAATCTTCATAACAAATCTGTTAGTCTCAATTGACTGAAAACAGAACTCGAACTAGAATTAAATTTCTTTTCAGATAATTTGTCTGATACTTACCATAGAACCATAGGGGTTTGACCTTTCTAAACAATAAACTTTTGAGCAGGCAATTTGAACGCAAAACTTGGCGCCTATAAAATGTATTTTAATGTCTATATAATTATGTTGTTTTAACACTTTGTATAAAATTCCTCCTGAAAAAGGGCAATGGGTTTGTTTGCCTGCAAATACTTTTCCCTCTTCCGCATTTGGTTGAAACATATATTTGAATCCACTGCTGCATGGCTGCTTGCAAGTTCAGTGTAGCATTTACAATACATGTACTTAGTTCTGTCATCGCATGAGAAAACATGAATCTAAAAAAGGATTCAGAATCATGCTAAGATCGTAGTACGATTCGAAGTCGCAAATCAACCACTTGCAGGAGCAATAACTGGTGCGTTGACAAATGTATTACCTAGAAGTTTTTAATATAAAATTAGGAAATGTGGATACTTTCCACTGAATAAGACAACTGTCCAGCCAGTACAAAGGACGAGGATGTAAATAACTATAGGTCACAGTATGTCCTTAAACAATGAACAAAACCGACACCGTATGTCCTTAAACAATGAACAAAACCGATACCGTATGTCCTTAAACAATGAACACAACCGATACCGTATGTCCTTAAACAATGAACACAACCGATACCGTATGTCCTTAAACAATGAACAATACCAATACGGTATGTCCTTAAACAATGAACACAACCGATACTGTATGTCCTTAAACAATGAACACAACCGATACCGTATGTCCTTAAACAATGAACAAAACTGATACTGTATGTCCTTAAACAATGAACACAACCGATACTGTAAGTCCTTAAGCAATGAACAAATCCAATACCGTATGATAAGCTATAAAAGGCCCCGGTATAATAAAACATGAACATTTTAAAAGAAGAAACCAACGGACTAAATTAGCTAATTTATGCTTAATACAATAAACGAAAAACAAATATGAATACAACAGCTAAAGACAACTGCTGAGTTACAGGCTTTCGACTTGGGACAGGTACATAAAGTATGTAGGGGCTTATCATGTTTGTTAGCGCTCAACCCCCCCCCCCCCACAAACCTGGGACTTTGACGTAACAGCACAGCATAAGAGCAAACTGTTAAAATTAATTGGAAAAGGATTACATCCTCAGATCGGCTCGAAATGAAATAAAACACAACAAAAAGAAAAAAAATAGACCGCAATTTATTTAACTAGTAAAAATCATGTTTACACATAATAAATCATCAAATAATTCACATCCGACGGATTTCGTGTAAAGACGTCATAAACAGCTTGAGACAAGCATGACCATGTGCAATGCCGAATAATATATTGATATATATGTTACAGACATTTTCTAAATTTAGGCACTTTGTAAAACGACTGAATTTTCAGGCAATTTATAAAATGCCTAACCTTGACAGGCAATGTGCCATTCAGTGGAAAGTATTGACCATGTGCAATGCCGAATAATATATTGATATATATGTTACAGGCATTTTCTAAATTTAGGCATTTTGTAAAATGACTGAATGTTCAGGCAATTTATAAAATGCCTAAATTGACAGGCATTATATAAAATGACTAAAAATACCTAGTCATATTGTAAAATGACTGAATTTTGAAACAAAATTCAACAAATTGCCTGTTCAGTTTCAGGCAATATGTAGAAAAGGTATATTATTGAGATGCATATACAAAAAGTGGACAAAAACACAACATCTTGCAAAGAAAATAACTAATGGTTCGGTAGAATTAATTTATTCTTCAAAAACCACCTGGGAAAGTTTGTATGTCATATGATATGTTCTTTTTAGTGAAACAACGTAAAGTATGTACTCCCTCTGTATTTCAGATAGTAAATTTATAATTATTTTGCCAAAATGGCAGATGGACACATTGTTCTTTCAAAAACAGCGAAGTGAAACATATGAAGCAGAGAAAAAGAAGTTTGTTTTTAATTGACTGATTGCTGTTTGTTCGCTTTCAGAAGCAAATATTTCATGCATTTTTAAGACGAGAACAATTTGGTTATAATTCATATGGGTTATTTCTGCAGTGGATTAACCTGGGTGAAGGACAGGAATTCCGACTGCCGCTTGAAATGAAGGTATTTTGGATAGGGACAGAAAATTCCACCTGTAGAACGGTCAAAGAGTTCTTAACGCGCAGAGAGTGTTGCACTTTACTAACATGCGGCAATATATTTAATGTCCCCATTCAGAAAAAAATGAGAATTTATACACCCACATCCAAACAAATTCCCCTCTATAGCATGGGTTTAGCCATACAAGGCCGTGTTTGGTTGTGATGCAATGATATGTGTATCTTCATCTTCACTGCCTCAAGGAAATTCCTGGGTCTTTGTAATCTGATGAACTAATGAGACAGTAGCTAACTGTGGTTATAATCTCGAAAATCGTCCAAGAAGAGACAAATAACGGTGCATTGACAAGGTAAGCGTCTCCTGTTATAGATGCATCACCCGTAATGGGCAGATCTGCTTCTGTCCGTTAAAAGCTATAAGCCAAAAGATACAAGTCAAACTAATCATGATAATGTACTTTGAATCTTTAGGGAAAATATTAAAAAGAAGATATTCATGTGTGACGTGTGTGCTTATTGCGAAACCCAATGTTGTTGGTAACGTTAAGTGTTTTATCAGAAAAGGTAATGAAAGAGCTAAATGTGTCATGATCCAGGTTTCTCCAAATGTGGTCGGAGTGTTAAAATCAGATATTACGCCAAACAATGTATTTGAAAAAAAAATCAGGACAAATATTGTGTAACAGTTCTGTCAACCAACATTTTAAGAAATAACAAATAATTGTCGAGTTCTGTGCTTGTGTGAATTTGGAATAATTCAGTAAAACGTATTTTTGATTATTAAAACTCTTAAATTGCAAGCTTTAACATTCAGTAATTATTATAAATAAAACAGCTCTGTTGTTCAAAGCTTTCAATTGTCTTTTTAACATTTCATTCTATAAAATAATTTCAGGCATTTTGTAAAATGCCTTTCAATTTTTCTAGGCATTTTGTAAAATGCCTAGAAAAAAATAGTCATTATGTAAAATGCCTAAATTTAGAAAATGCCTGTAACATATATGTAGGACAATAAGTGTTCATGGCTGTATAACAAATAGTTTCAATTTATTAAAAAAAAAAACACAGATTCAAAGTTAATACCGATGGAGACATTATTCAAAGATCTAATTACTAAAGTCAAGTGTTAAATTGATCGAACCTTTTCAAATGATCAATATGTTTACGGGCTCTATAAACAACACCACCGCAAAAATAAGAATGTGGGATCCCGTTTGTAATAAGGTTTCTACGGGTACAGCCAAACTCTTAAATCAAATCTTTGTATTTATAAAAGAATTTGATAAAGGGTCAAGTAATTTATTAAAAGGTGGTCTCTTCCTATATGGATGTCTTCCTATATGGATGTAAACACAGACGTTTCGCTAGAATTGGTCCCTTTTTGATACGTCAAGGCTGAGAAATATATGAATGGGTTATGATATTGCCATGAAATATATACTAGTATTTATGTGTCGTGATTTACACAAGATTTCAATGTATAAATGGAGGTGTTTTTGAAATCCGAGCTTCATGTTTGTCATGTCTAAAATCACATGTTGAAACAGCAAATACATAAATAAATAAAAATTTGTTTGGTCAAGACGTCAGAAGAAAATGTATATTTTGTGTCTACGAATTACCAGTAGTTCAAGAAGTGTTATTAAGTCGTATATGAGCGTATTATATCAGTAGTATAGTTCATATGCATATCATATATCTGTATACAAAAACCTTGTTTCTTCCTATATATATATATCTTATCTAAACAATAAGAGAGACACAATTATCCATATTCATATGGGTGCCGACGCTTTATTGGAAAGTAAATAAAAAGGGAAAACAAATAGTTTTTCGTGGAAATTTTCAATGCATTATTTATTTGTTGTCTCTTTCAGTTATTTGTGGCCGGTGCACTAGGGATATATGTTTGTGCAAATGACTATGAAAACTACATAGGTAGCTCGAAAAACTTTGCATTAAAGGTAGGAATTACATCTTAAAAGTTAGATTTATACTATATGAAGCGTGAAAATGAGAAATGATAGAAATTGGTCGTATTAACTCCAGTAATGAAAGTTACAGAAACTGGGCACAAGTAATTAAGAATGTGCAGACGAAATGAGAATGGTGCTAAAGCTGGAAATAGTACTTAAAATGACAAATTTGTAGAAAGGTGATGACAGAATACTAGAACATGAGAATTCAATTCAATTTAATTCAAATTATTGTATTGTTCAAATATCAAATGTACATATTTAAGAAGCATTAACTACGATTCTTTTTGTTTCAAGTATAATTAAAAGCGGAATTTTGAAACAATATTTCGTTATAAGCAGTCAGTTTGGCCCAAATTTGTCATAATACGCTAAAAAAACATCGCTGATGTATTACCCTCAATTGAATTCGTATTCATGTGACCTTCATTTTAATCCCTTAGCTTACGCACGTGCTAGGAGTGTTCAGCTATTAAAAGGAAAAACATGTCAACATTGAAAGTGAAACAAGGATGAATCACTTTGTTGCCTGATTCAATCCACAGAAAATCATTCTTGAATCAGGTGAAAATGATGATTAACGTATTCTTAAATCTATAACATGAAATCAAACAGACCTAGAAAAATTCAATTGCACGTGCTTGATGTCTATTTATATTTATATTTATGTTTTTATCGGGTTATATGACCGGCAGTCTTCGGAGGTCATCTCGATGGTTAATTATATGGCGTCTATACTAAAATACATACGAAGTGCTGATACATATAATCGAGTCCATGCATTGTTAATTGACTAATTTAGACTTTTCGTAATTCGGATATGCGTTTTAGTATGATATAAATCAAATATGAGAATTTGGGTCAAATCGGTGAACATGAATTTGACAGCTTATGCCCCTTTAAACAAAAGGATTGGACAAAATGCAAAGCCTATACAAATCCTTTACATAAAAGATGGATTGGATACTCTGACAGTAAATAATATATTTCTGATAATCCAAAGAACATTCATTATTGCAGTGAATCCAGGGAGGCAACCCTCTTCTTGATTTTTTAATCGTGTATGCATATATAAAGTATAATTACTGAAAATGTCAAATTTATATCCAATCAATAATTAAGGTTTATGACCCGTTCTATAGACTTGTGTATTACAAAATTTTCAAGATGATACCATATCAAAATAGCAAAAATACAGAATCAACGTGACGTGCCATTTTGTACATATACCAAAGGGAAACGTAGTTCAAAGCAATACTGTTTATTGCAATATTTAAAAAAAAATCAAGATTTTTGCACAAAAAAACACAGACTTTGTTGCAGAGATTTTCGTTATAAAATTTTAAACATAGATTACTCGCTTGGTAGTTCATGATGTGCTAGCGTTTATTGTCTACAACAAGTCCTTAACAACCTTTACAATCCCAAAAAACTCGTGCTGAGTCACTAAAGTCGAGCACACCCTAGAGTTTGTACTTGAATAAATCCATATTAATGCATGTTTTAACCAATTTCTTTATTTATATCCTTGTTTTAGGGAAATAATTGCTAGCACTGCATGCATTAATCCTCTATCTATTAAGCACCGAATTGTCAAATATAGGAGTACAAGGGGAAAGACTGGATTTTTTTTTATAAATTTCCATATGTTTAGCATTGGAATAACAAAGTGGTACATTATCTTTATATAGGTAAAGATTTAAATAAAAATTGTCAATTGATATTAACTAAAATTCACTAACTTACTGCAACAAAGTTGTTCACTTATATTATAATAAGAATTGTTGCCCTTCATTTTGCCACACATAGTAAGACAGTATACCATCTTGTTACAGAAGTCAGTTATTTTCAATATTATTTTTTATAACATAAGTATTAATAGAAAAAAACATAGCTTAAAGTATTAATTAATATCTTTGACTAAAGACTAAAAAGTGGTAAAATTACAATGTGATTGTAGGCTAATCAAATTTTAAACTGTTATATTATTAATTACATCCTATAAAAATCTTCCAGTTTCTTAAATATATTATTGTTGGACATTATATGTTATTCAGGTCTCAGACAAGGTATATAATGTGACATTCCGGCTTAGGGTTTATATTCCCTGAGCCGAAGACGAAGGGGATATAAACCCTTAGCCGGGAATGTCACATTATATACCCTATCTGAAACCTGAATTACACATATATTACGGATTACCCCTGCCTTAATGTTTTTTATTGAGAACCAGATATTTGTTAAACATTCACCATGCAGTATATATATTTTCCGCATACGTGAAGGATTTTGTAATTTGCTGTGAAAATAATTCTATCGTGTATGCAATAATTTGTAATAACACTTTAAGACATTAATTAAGTATTTGATGTGTAAATCGCGTTATTTTAAATGAAAAACGTATTATTGACGGATACACGTCATTATTTTCCCTCTGTGAGCCTCTGACGTTCTGTAAGTGTTCTGTATAGCTTAAGACTACGTCACATAGTAACGTTCGTTTTGATAACGCTGTTGAGGTTCCAATTAGGGTGAAAAACGTCGTATATACCCCAGCAGTTTCCTGAATATATACTGTAATCCGTAATATATGTAAATATCTCTGTTTCAGACCTGCCAACTTTCCCGCTTTACGGGGGATGTCCCCCATAAGAGGTGTTGACCTAACCCTTATAAAACTCTATTAGACTAAATACTTTAAAAATGGCATTCAAAGAAGTAAAAAAATACATTGAAACATATGTATACTCACTTAAAACAATAGATGTTTCAATTAAGTACACTAGTGGCATGTAAAGGTATGAATTGTTTAACATTTCTTACCGATATAACATGTTACTTTTATTATTCTTCCCTTAGTTTATTTATTTTGTATTTACATTGTGTCATAGGTCAAATTTATTTGTTCAGTGTATGTTCAATGGTGTTAATATGTCCTTTGATTGAGTTAAGCTATTTCAGTTGATATTTTATAGTGTGTCTTTCTATGTTGTGATGTTACACTATTGTTTCAGAAAAAGGGTGAAGGTTTGGTACCATTAAAACGTTTAAACCCGCTGCATTTGTTTGCACCTGTCCTAAGTCAGGAATCTGATGTTCAGTAGTTGTCGTTTGTTGATGTGGTTCATAAGTGTTTCTCGTTTCTCGTTTTTTATATAGATTAGACCGTTGGTTTTCCCGTTTGAATGGTTTTACACTATTAATTTTTTGGGGCCCTTTATAGCTTACTGTTCGGTGTGAGCCAAGGCTCCGTGTTGAAGACCGTACTGTGACCTATAATGGTTTACTTTTATAAATTTTGACTTGGATGGAGAGTTGTCTCATTGGCACTCATACCACATCTTCTTATATCTATTAGGTCCTCTTGTGCTTAACCCCCCCCCCCCCCCCCCCGCCGTAATGGAGATTTTTTAATGTTGGCAGGTATGCTGTGTTTTAATCATCATTTAAATCTGAGTAACCCTGTAGTAGGACATCAAGATTGATGTTGTTAAATAGCGCGAGTTGTCGTAAGAGCTCATATATCTGTCAAATGTAAAATGCATAAATAATTTTGAAAATACAAGTATTGATTGAAATGAGACGTGATAATATGGTAGCGAAACGCATTTAGTTTGTAGCGACAAAAAAAACAAATTATGCCAGTAATTCTGAATCAACGCAGAATTGTGCAAGAGAAATAACTCTATTTTTAAAAACACGCTGCCAAACATTAGATATTCAAAGGTTTTTCCGGGAATTTCCACATTTCTCGAAATTAAAAGACATTCCTAAGCATTTTCCAGTTTTCAAGGTAATATGAATTTGCAATTCGCAACAAACTGTTCAATTAAGTATACACGCTCAGTATATAATTAAAGCCCTTATTATACCAAATTTGATTAAAGTCATGGTTATTTTGTCCCCTTGTCATATTCTTACTTTCTCTAAAATACGCTTTAAAAAATCAGTGTCTCATTGACTTATAACATTCAAAATGTCTGAGTCTGCGCTAATTATATAGATATATCGAGAATTTGATCACGCTGTTGTTTGCAAAGCTAAAGAAGCACGTCATATTAGATTTTGTTTTTAATTTGGAGAAGCAAGTGTTGTCGGATTGAAGATCATTCATTGGTAGTTTCTTTTTTATTTATTTCCAATTTTACTCGGGTTGATTCAGAAATTAAAAATAAACTGACCTTCGAACAGAAGGACTTCAGGTACCACTGATTACCTTTTGGATTTTGATACAATGAAATCAGATTAGAAAAAAGAAAAGTGATTACTCAGATGAAAGAACATGAAAGGCCATGATTTAAAGATAGTACCTTAAGTAATTTGCTCGAATACATTTTAATTAGATAAACAAAGCAGTTATATCTTCTTATTTATTTTCAGGGATGCTGTTTTGTTCTTACGGTAATCTGCATATTTGTTTGCCTGGTTGCCAGTACATTCCCTGTCATTCATATTGTGAAAATGTACAAATACCACCATTGTGAAAATTTGAACAATGACTGTCTATGTTACGGATCTCCAGATCCTCTATCCAGACAATACACGTACAGAGAACTGGGCAGCTGTGACACCTTATATTGTTTGGTTAAGATATTCTTTATAGTAGAAAGTGGATTGTGTGCTTTAGGAAGTGGCATATCTTTTTGGTTTGCAATTTTACTTTGGAAATCGAAATATGGGGGGATATACTCGGGAATAAGATACTCTTTCAGTTCGCACACAAATGGAAATATCGACCATGTTTGATGAAATACTTAATATGGATAGTATTTCAGATTTATATAATCTAGTCAATCGGTATTCAGTTTGAAAATAAGATTGCACCGGTGAACCAACAACACTAGGTGATAAAAATATCTTCTTGAATTCAATCTTCTATACAGTAGGATTTAACTATTGCTATATATAAAACGTCTATTGCACCGGATAAAAAGTTTGGACAGTAATTCACAATGTAAACCATTTCTATCTTAATCATCAAACGGCAGAACGGTTAATGGGCACACTTGTAAGAAAAAAATATACCTTTTATTTTCTGCATAACTTTATTCTTGTTTGAGGTGTGCATGAGCTCAACGTTAACGAGACAGCAACTAAAAAATACATGTTTACTTAATTATATAGACATCACGTTTAACTTAATCGAAGACTTCGTCGGTGGATTTACATGCATTGTCCAAAATTCTATAGACATACATGTATTTTAATGAAAACAAAAGACACGACCTTGATCCGATACCAGCAACAAATCCATAAAAAAAACACAAAAACAGCGACAGACACTGGAGTGATTCATAATAGACACATGTACATTGTGATTAGGTTAACATAATTTTTGTGAATACTCAACCCTCCTCCTTTACCTCAAACCAAAGAAAGGTTGACAGGGTTTTGAAAATATAAGTCACACGGAATCTCCCATTCGCGCATCCGACAGTAAAACGTTTCTTCACCTTTCAGAATCCTAACATCAACTCTAAGGAGTCCCTAAAAGGTTTGATACAAAATAAAATTTCTGTCCCTATCCAACATAGCCTGTTTTTCCAGAGGCAGTACAATTTAAATTCCTTGTCCTTCAGTCGACCCATATTGCAGAATATTTCTTTTCAATATATTATTTATTCGGTCTAGACCGAAATAAGCATCAAATGCTTGCCACTGGACGTTCGTCAATCAATCAATTTTCTACCTCGATAAATAAAAGAATAAATAAGCAATCAGCCTCAGTCAAACACTCAGCCTTTTGTCGTACTTGATTGTCATGTCGTATCAGGGGACTTAAGCGGACCTGGTAAGAATAACAACAATCAAATTTTCATTTAAATATAAAAGTAAGAAGATGTGGCATGATTGCAAATGATACAACTCTTTATCAGAGAACAAAATGACGTAGAAGTTTACAACTATAGACAGAGACATATATACATATATGTCTCTGCTATAGGTCACCGTACGGCCTTCAACAATGAGCAAAACAATAGCGCATAGTAAGCTATAAAAGACCCTGAATTGACAAATTCAAACGAGAAAAATATCAACCCCCCCCCCCCTGTCTTCCCCCTATCCTGGGACAGTGGTGTAACAGCACAACATAAAACAGATACTATAAAATTCATTCTAAAAGTTCTTTACTCATCAGAGACAATCACAATAACAACTAACATAATCACAAAGTATAGATCTGAGAGTATTTGCATTTACTGAAAGCTAGTTCAAAGCCAATGAGAACTATTGAAAAAATTCATGTATCCAAGACTAAAATACCAATCAGTTCACATCCAACATACAATAGATTTAGTGGAAAGACGTCATAACCAGTCAGAGTTTTTCTTGACCATGTGCAATGCTAAACTCCATATACCAAATGTTATTACCAATACATTTGTGATCTAAAATTCTCCAACTGTTACTGAGGAACAGTTCTGATCATGAAAACTATGCCAAGGCCACATGAAATATGTCAGACAGTCATATAAACTCTTTACGACATTTCCATTGTGATTCTAAAAGAGGTAGGATAAATTTCTCCTGTATTTGTTTAACCCTCAGTTTCAAAATCTACAAATATTCAAATCCTACAGGAAATTAAAAACCAGTATCGAAGAATCTATAAAATATACGTATCATCTGGTTCATTTCCATGTGTCAATCTTGATATTAATAGGCTCACAAGTTTGACCTTTCTTAAAAGGTGTGGAATGATTCGCTCTATCCTAATTTAAGGTAATATGTGTGCATGTGGCTGTTGACTTAGTATTGGAAATGTGGTATTTTTAGATATTGATTGATATAAAATGGATTTCTAACACTTTGAATATCAATTTTTGTATATATATTAAGATGAACTTTTCTGAAATTTTAAACTGGCTGTTCAGTGTTGTGCGTTATACACACATGCTTTTAAAATTTTGTTCACTTTACTTGTTGAAAATTTAAACATTTACAAATAGACACGACTCTGGAGGTGTGCCTAGATTGGCAGAAGTTATAAAATATAGATAATGCATTTTTGTAAACATTGTATAGGAACATTGTTTAGCAAAACAAATCGTGCATATTGCAGATTAACAAAGCAAATAAACACTTATAATAATTGATATTTCAATATTGAATTTCAGTGTGCAATATATGTATAATAAAACGAACATGAATTAATGACAGTTGATCGGAACTGAAATACACATGGTTAATTTTCCGGCATTTGATGTCTTATCCTGAGACGAGAAAAGTCTGTAAATCTTTATCTCAGGAGGCAGGAGGATTTGTTTTGGATGGATTATTTATTTTTGTGGACCAAAAGGACAGATTATTTATTTTCTGCACTGTTGAAGCATGATTTTTCATTTTCATTAAAACAAGGGACAGATTATCTTTTTTCACAATTACATTTATAATATTTGAAAACATACAATTTTTAAATTCTTAAATAAATAACATATATAGTCAATTAAGTCATCATCCTCTGGAAGTTAATCTTCTGAATTGCAAACTGCATATATTGCATACGTACAAGGTATTAAAGCTGGGCTGTAACTAGCCTCTTTTAAAAGTTGTCAAACATTTTCGCCGAGCGGAAAAAAAATCAGCGAAGAGTCAGGGGTTCGCTGAAGGCCCCAAGAAGCTATAGAAAAAATGGCGCAAAATCATGCATTATGCGCGTTTCCCAGACCCTTTCTTAATCTGAAACGCAAGTTCTGTTTTAATTTTTTGACAATATTCTGGTTTCAAAGCAAAATATATAGATGCAGTGTAAGACTTTTAGTTTTTAGGGACAACATCAAAAGACCAATATGTAGGAAAAAGCAAAAAATGTTTCAGTTTGCAGAAAAACCTTTTATATCTGTCAATTATGTTTTTTTTTCAAATTAAGAGGGGGCTGATTATCATTGATATAACTATGTCAAGTCAGTTTTTATAACACATTTCAATTACAACTTGATGTAGTTCCTAACTGGGATACAATTTAAAGTAGTTTGTAATAGACAAAAGGTCCTTAAATATAATAAAAGTTTAAAACATAATTACTAAATTACAAATAGAATGCAACACTAAGAGAATAGTCATAAAGAAGGGCAATCAATAAACAAAAGACAAACCCGGGAACAGATAAAACACAAAACGACAAACATTATAGACAATCAACACTGAAAAATAAAAATAAATGAGAAACATGGATCTCAAAAAACAGGGGCTACGTCAGAGGGTGAACAGAACTTGCTTCTTGCAAGACACTTGCCGTGAAAACAATTTGATATGAAGACAAGCTTTTGTTTTGAAATTTCCAACATGAGGCATTTGCCTCAATGTAGTTACGGCCCTGTGATAAAAGTGAGGTAAATGTTCACGAGACAATATACATCAAGTGAAATGAAACCCGTTTTCAAACATTTCAAATACATTAATATTTATATTATTAAAAGACTTGAGAAGTTTTTCCCGAAAAAAATATGAAAAAAGGCGAATTTTGGAAGAATCTGGTGCCATCTCATACTTCAGAATAGCATTTATAAAATGGCTTAAAAGACCTGCCAAGTTATTTTCAATACATTGTAAGTCAGGTTATTTATTTTCAAACTACCACAGAATAAACCATTCATTTTTGTTATTATCAAGGCTGAGTTATTTATTTTCAAAATCCTCCTCCCCCCCCCCCCCACCCCACCCCAGAATATCAAATGGTCGTCCCCTAAGTAATTATTTCAAGATGGCGGGTATATCGACTGAAACTAATAGCTCCGCACTGTGATGCGAAGCAAAGATGCGAAGCAAAAAGCACCATGATAAAATAAGAAAAGCTTTAATTCCATTTAAATAAAAAATCTCTTCATTAATACTCCTAATTCACACAGTAAAACCAGTATTGCTATATCGATATGAAATATTGGGGTATTCCCTATTAAGAAATTTCTTAGCGACCCTGAGATAATAAAAAAATTAGAAAATTCAAAACCAGAGAAAATTTGCCACATTATTTAATTAAAAATGGAAATGGGGAATGTGTCAAAGAGACTACAACCCGACCACAAAGCAGAAAACAGCCCAAAGCCACCAATGGGTCTTCAACACACCGAGAAAATCCTGCACTCGGAGGCGGGCTATATATGTACCTGTCTTAAGTCAGGAGCCTGTAGTTCAGTGGTTGTCGTTAGTTCATGACTGCCATATTTTTATACGACCGCAAACATTTTTTATGGTCGTATATTGGTATCACGTTGTCGTCGTCGTCCGAAGACACTTGGTTTCCGGACAATAACTTTAGTATTAGTAAATAGAAATCTATGAAATTTAAACACAAGGTTTATAACCACAAAAGGAAGCTTAAGGTTGGGATTGATTTTGGGGGTTATGGTCCTTACAGTTTAGGAATTAGGGGCCAAAAAGAAGCCCAAATAAGCATTTTTCTAGTTTTCAGACAATAACTTGTGGAACGGTCTCTCTGAAATTGTACAACAAGTTTCCATACCACAAAGGGATGGTTAGGATTGACTTTGGGGGGTAATGGCTCAAACCGTTTTAGAATTAGGGGCAAAAAAGGGGGAAAAACAAGGGTTTCCTTGTTAATGGACAATCACTTTTAAGTACAATGTTAAATTTGGATTACCTCCCTTACACTGCTTTAAAATTATGTATAAAGAAATTTTGTATTGTCTTGAGGTGATTAGCTGTCAATTTATTTTTAGAAGTTACTAATAAAAATGCTGATTAAAGATATATTATTTTTAGACATGATTATGTATGTCAGTTTCTATTTTAAGACTTTTATGATGTATTTAAATGGGTAATTATGGTTGCAAACTCCATTGGAAATTTAATTGAGATAATGACCACATCTTGAGGGAAAGATGTTAAATTTTGATGACCTTTACACTGCTTTAAAATTATGTATAAAGAAATTTTGTATTGCCTTGAGGTGATTAGCTGTCAATTTATTTTTAGAAGTTACTAATAAAACTGCTGATTAAAGATATATTATTTTTAGAAATAATTATGTATGTCATTTTCTATTTTAAGACTTTTATGATGTTTTTAAATGGGTAATTATGGTTGCAAACTCCATTGGAAATTTGAATTGAGATAATGACCATATCTTGAGGGAAAGATTTTTTTTTTTAGAAAAAGGGGAGGGGGAGGGGAGGTGAAAAAAAATTGTGGGGGGGGGGGGTAAAAAAGAAATAGGGGGGAAATTTTTTTTCGTTCTCATTACAGATTTCAAAAATTAAAAAGAAAATTTCTTCAAATATTATTTTTTTTGCCAAAAAAAAGGGGTGGGGTGAAAAAAAAATTTTTTGAGGGGGTTGGGGGGGGGTCAATATTCAATAGCATAGTGTATTGCAAAAAAGCAAAAAAAAAAGGGGGTAAATTATTTTTTTTTGGGGGGGCGGGGGGGGGGGGGCAATTCGCAACAGCATAGTGAATTACACAAAAGCAAAAAATTGAATATAAATTCAAATCATATAACCAATTCTAAGTTCTTTGACTACAGTTATTCTGTGTCAGAAACCTATTATTTGTCAAACATTTAATTTCAATCCAAATTCAGACCTGTATCAAGCACGAATATTGTGTCCATTTATGCCCCAACTGTTCAGGGTTGGACCTCTGCGGTCGTATCCAGCTGCGCTCGGCGAAGCAATTAATTTTTTCCTAGATTGTTTTGTTATAAATAAGGCCGTTAGTTTTCTCAATTGAATTGTTTCATATTTTTCATGAAGGGGCCTTTCATATCGTTGAAACAGTATGGTTGCCTATAATTACTTACATCCACTTCATTTGAACTTGGTGGATAGTTGTCTCATTGGCAATCATACCACATCTCTTTATATATTCATTAAAATTTGTAAGGGTTCCGCGGAACCCAGTGTCTCCCCTACTTTTGCTGTTGTCTATGTAATCTTTTGGTTGTAAGAAGCCTCTGTCCAAGTTTGGTAAAAATCCAGGATGTTATGAATCTAATAAATGTTTTAAAAACTTTAACTGCAGACTGTATGTAATGTTAACTGGAAGAAAAACTAAGTCCATTTATAAGTAATATACGGAAAAACAGGAAATAAATTTTTACAAAATTTCCTTCTAGATACTAGCTTTTGATCATAAACAAGCTTCTGATCAAGTTTGGTACAAATCCAGGATAGTTTTAAGAAAGTTATTTAAATTTTAAAAACTTTTAACCACTGAGTGAATATAATGTTAACTGGAAGAAAAACTAAGTCCATTTATAAGTAAAATACGGATAAACAGGATTTTTTTTTACAAAATTTACTTCTGGATACTATCTTATGATCATAAACAAGCTTCTCTCCAAGTTTGGTAGAAATCCAGGATAGTTTAAGAAAGTTATTAAAATTTCAAAAACTTTTAACCACAGAGTGAATATTTGTGGACGACGAATGTAGGATCGCTATATCTCCCTTTTGCGACAAGTCACAGGCTTGACAAAAATGCATTAGATGTTAATGGCATAGAACTAGCTTTCAGTAACTGCGAATACTCTTATATTGGCGCTTATTGTTTTTGTGTTTTTTGTTAGTCTGTGCGTCGTACCCATCTATTGATTTAAGCCATTTGCAACTGGTTTGTATAGTTTGTTTTTATGTTGCTCTGTTACACCACTGTCAAAATACCCCTATTGTTTACTCCTCTTCTTCTTCCCGATCCCCCCCTCTCATTTCCAGGTTCCCTTAAACCTGTCCAACTCCTCATTTAAAGCCTTGGTCTTATTATTTTGAAGTCCACCTAATAGGGTGTCACACAAAAGAGATGGCATACTAAGAGGTGTCAGATTATTAAGGTGTCGAAAAGTGGATTGCTGGACCAATGGGGTTTTGGACCAATTTCGGTGTTGGACTAAAGGGGTGTCAGAATATTGGGAATATCAGTCCTGCTAGATTTAACAAGTTATTGCAAGATTTGTTTGATGTGTTGTTTTTTTTTGCAAATGAATTTAGGTTATATGTGTATATGTATTACACAGATATACTATCTGCCTTGAGAAAACAGGTGACTTAAAACGAAGACTAGCATTTCTCTGACCACGATTATTTTTCACTCCAAAAAGAGTTTCTGTGCGATTATTAACAAATTTTGTTAAATATTTTAAGAATTTTTTTTTACATTTGGTCCCAAATGCAAAGCTTGAAAAATATTGATGGAAAACCATTGGAGTTGCACATGACAAAAAACTAGGTATATCCTGTTACCTTTACAAAAATTACTCAAGGTCCACACACAGGAATCAAAGCCTTAAAGGCTGTAAAAGCAATTGCTGCCATGTTAATGTTTTGGGGACTTTTATTTTTCATCCACATATATATAAGAATTAAACCTGACAGGAGTGTTGTCTAGAGAGAAGTAAGAAGGTTTGAACTTTATATCAATAAAAGACTTTAGCAGAAAGTCATTTTTAATATGTTTTATATTTCACAAGGAGACAACACGTTTACCAGGCTAAAGTTGGGGTCGAAATTTACATGTGCTGAAACATATAATTCAAAAAGAAATTATCCCCTGGTAGTGTTTGTAACTGGGCAATAATTTCCTTAATTGATTTAATTTTAACAATTATCATAATTAATTTAAATTTGACCATTCAATTAAAACATTTCAACTTTCCAGACGCAAATGTTGAAAAACGGGAAAGAAATAAAATATCTTACAAGACATAAACATGTAAAAAATAAATATATATTTCAGCTTACTAAAAATATTTTCATAATGTTACTTTGTCTTCATTTCTTAAAACTAATTCCCAAACATTATTGCTCAGTTGATATGTGTCATCCTCATGCGGTACGAGATAACTATAATTCTCATGCAATCCCCGGCGAAAATGGGGGTCATCACAGACAAACATGACATTAAATCGTCATTATACGAACAAGAACAAACAGCTCTTCGTTGCTTTGATATTTATCAATTTTCAGGAAACATTGCGAAAAATGATCTTCAATATTTCGAAAACATATGAAATAAAATTGCAAACACGGTGGACCGTCGAGTGTCAACACACGTAGTAGACTCGTCCACTGGAAAGACGAGGATAATGGTTTCATCATTTGTCATGCATACCCAGTTTTGATTATGATATCCAAAAGGACGTACTTTTTTTCAATCTATGAAACTAGAAAATTCCAAATTTTAATATCTCTTCATCTGAACTTGGCATCTATCACGTTTTGACGGGTCCATTTCATTAGTAAGGTGATCGATAAATCTTACGGAGTTATTACAAAAAAGGAAAACGAACTTATTGTTATGTGTTTTTAACAAGGGTTTCGTTCCGCTAAATTATTTGCGCAAACAAATCAACAAAATATGCCAGTTAAGTTTATCTATTTTTAGATTACAGGTAATCATTTGACACTACGTATAACCTGTGTAGTGATTTTGATTTTACGATAAATTTATGAATGAACGATAATTTTATGAATGAACAAGAGCACCTGGCCTCTTTCTTAGAGAAACACCAATTAAACACATAAAACCGTATTTAATAAGAGATAATTCAGTAAAATTTTCCAATACTAAATCAACAACTGAAATGATTCCATATTTTGCTGAAACATCGTACGAAAGGAGAACGGAATCGCAGAAATTTGCTCTTACGAAGTAAATAGACGCAGATATATAAACCATGAGACGACTGGATGCAAAGCAATACTAATTAAATGCTAAGAAATGATTAAAGCGAATTAAAATAAAACATTTAATTTTGGCAAAATTATTACAATTTCATATGAAAAAACAATAATAGACGTTAAAGTTAATTCAATCAATGTTCAGCACCATTTATCAACAACACTTTGCTCACACGTCTATATCCAGCGGGTAACAATAAATCTGAAATTTCTGAATCCATTACGAAATAATCCGAATCAAAATTATCAGGTATATTAAACTAAGTTGCTCGATCGTCCTTTAATCACTCAATTACATTGTAAATTCGTCTATCCACAGTAACAAATCAGCAAGGAACATACGCTGAAAAATAAAACTTCCACAGAAAATGAGAATGAAACTACTGATCATAAATATTGGGTGGGATAAATAATGGGAGGGTTAGTTTTCGGCTATCAACGGCAGAATGAAAAACTTTAATTCCTTTAAATCACAAGTCTATAAAGGAACCAATCAAAATTCATTGTTATGTTATAAAAATCATAACAAGTTGTATCATTAGCTAAATGTAAAGAACCGAAATAATTCGAACAGTATAAAGTCTATTTCTTTAATCTTCAGTCGCCAATTATATATTTTTAATTAATTAAAAATAGCACAATTTGCTCTTACGAAGTAAATAGACGCAGATATATAAACCATGAGACGACTGGATGCAAAGCAATACTAATTAAATGCTAAGAAATGATTAAAGCGAATTAAAATAAAACATTTAATTTTGGCAAAATTATTACAATTTCATATGAAAAAACAATAATAGACGTTAAAGTTAATTCAATCAATGTTCAACACCAAAAAACCAACGGCCAAACAGTAAACAAAGCACATTGATTGATAATAAACAAAAGTTAAAAACAATTTAAGTTATAGGGCTCATTTAAAGCCATGTTTCAGCTTATACAAAGATCAGAATGAAAACAAAAATAATAATAATACTGACATGAATGGTCAGAAATCAGAAAATATCACTGACATGAATGGTCAGATATTTCTAACAAAAATATGATAATACCGACATGAATGGTCAGATATCAAAAAAAATACTACTGACATGAATGGTCAGATCTTTCTGACAAGAATGGTCAGAAAACAAAATAACCCAAAAAGGATATATACAAATCACCCACTACTGTAAGCACAATTAAACAAAATTGGTACAGAATAAGATTGCTCCTTCTGTTTAAAAGTAACAAGATGAGACTAAACATCCTCTTGTTTAACAATGTGCCAATACTTGAACAAAAAAATTTGTCAACTTTAAATTACCAAAATAATTCAAATGTAACCTACAGATGGGTGAATAAAGTTCACAAACTGGCATCCCAAACTTCAAAAAAGGTTTATAAGTAGCTACAAACTGAACACCACGTTTAAAGCATAAACTTCTTAATCTAGAATTAATAGTGGTGACAAAATAACATGTATTCTGAAAATCAAGTAAACGTGGAATAATTGCTGACATAACTATTACAGTATGTGGCTTAACTAATTTCTCAATTGTAGAGATAAGCACGTTATAGGCTATATCAAAATCAGCAACCTCATAGGTACCAACATTATTGGTTCCTACATGCACCAGAATTATATCATAATTTACCTGAATTGTTCCACAATTAAGCAAATTTATTATGTCCCAAATATTTGCTCCAGGAAAGGCTTGCAAGTGACACCTTCTAATAGTTTTAACATGCTTGGCTATGAAATCGCACACCAGAGTAGACCTAGAATCTATAAAGAGCAAATTTATTTTAAAACAAAGTTTTTAATTTGTTCCACTACATTGATTTTATCAGACAAAGAACTAACAATATATTTAGTATAGCAATTGCTCTTCCAATCACCCACCAATTGGATAGAACTAGGAGAAACCCCTGCTTTCGAAGCCAACGTTGCTCCACCTCTTCGGATATGTGAAGAAAATAATTTTGGATTTAACCCAATTTTACAAAGTAATTCTCTCAGTTTATTCTGAAACTGGTTATAAGTAATTGGCATGCATTTCCCCTTTTTTGTACAAGAAAAAGCGGCACCATCCGAAGTGCAAGGATTTAAAGAACACATCCTTTTATATGCATTTACAGGGCAAAATTTAGATAAAGGATATGCAAGCAAAGGTATCCTTAAAATACGATTACCCAACTGAATTGTTTTTGTCCATTTGAATGCAACTATTATAAGAGATGGAAAGACTGTAACACCACCTCTGCATAGCTGTTTGTTTTTGTCAAATTTCTTGGTTGATACTGGAACTAAATTATACTTCCTGCTTAAAAGTAATAAAGCAAAAAGAAATAAACACCAATATGTCGCATCAAGAGGAGTATTCAAATTCAAAAGTTCACGAAATTTTCCTAGAATTTCTAAAGTAATAGGAAATGCCTGTTTAGGTAAATGTTTTAATTTCCTATCTAACCCTTTCATCGTCAATTTCAATTCGTAAGACGAAAACACATCCACGTGTAATCCTAATAACAGGAAAAGAACTTTAATTCCATTTAAATAATTGCGAATAGATTGAGCTGATTTGAAACTTCTACTGAGAAACTCCGAATAAGTACATAATAACTCCGCATTAATATCAAACGGTTCTAAATGAAAGTAATTACAAAACAATAAATAGGCTCTCCACTGCGTTTTAAAATTAACCAAAGTACCTTTCGCGAAAGCCGAAATCCTAGTCAAAAACATATCTCGTCTTAGCACTTGCAAATCTACAAATACACGAATAAGCAATTACCAAATATGTTCAAACTGAAACAATTCTTTAGGAATAAAATCTCTAGATAGAGACATGCCTTTTGTCCTCTCGTAAAATTCTAACTGAAATTTATAACCTAAATCCCATCTAGACAAAAGATCCGGTAAACGGTTATCGCAACCTGAAATATGTATAGCTTTTAACTCAAAATTATTTAAAGCTGCAATCCAACAAACTTCCCGCAAACACGCCTGCAGGAACACATTTCTGGTAGCGCCTGTATTCAAAACACGAACTGATACCAAATTATCGCAATAAATAACCACCTTTAAATTTGTAAAATGTTTACCCCATAATTTTAAGGCTACTACAATCGTCAACATCTCGAATAAATTTATATGCAAATTTTGATCTAAAATGAACTCCGGAAATGAACAGTGAAAGTATCTTCCGTCCATCCATCCGCCACATCCTGTCAAACATGCATCAACAGAAAACAATTGATCAGGATTTGAGAATTCAGACAAAATCATAGAAACCCCATTGTAACCAGGCAAAAATTCCTGCCACCACAATAAGTCAAGTTTAAAATCAGCTTGAATGACTAATTTCCCTTTATCAGGAAAATCTCTTAACCAATTCAAAAGTCTTGAGACAAAAATTCGGCCAGAACGCACACATTGAGATACAAAATTTAATTTTCCCAGCAATGATTGTAATTCTCTCTTTGTACAATCTGTGCTACATAGCCAATTCGAAACTAACTGCAGAATCTGTGACAATCTTTGAGTATCAATAGAAATTGTCATATTCTCAGAATCAAATAAAATGCCAATAAATATCATTTTTGTACAAGGCGGACAGGCTTTCTCAATTGATTCTTCAATGCCACACTTCTGTAAAATAAGACCCAATTTAGCATAAGCATCATCATTGCTGGAAGGAATATCACATCCAGCCAAATCATCTAAATAGTTCAAAATATCTACACCCATGTTTTGACATATAAATGCAATAGCATTTGTTGTTCGCATACATATATATGCAGCCGATCTCAAACCCATTGTTAATACACGATCGTAATACAAGTGTCCTCTCCATTTGTAACCTAAGAGATGGATGTCACCGGGGTCAACGACTAATTGTCTATAAGCCCGTTTCAGGTCCCTTTTAAACATTTTACAACCTTGACCTTTACTCTTGATTAACATAATAAAATCATCAACCGTGGGATACGAAACTGAAATTTCATCGCCTAAATATCGATCTTTGAAAATACCAGAATTAACCGCCTCGCCCTCTGGAAAGCTCAAATCAACAATTACCCTGCGTTCTATCGAATCCTTTTTTGGAACAGAATTTAAAGGAGATAAAGCTGAAGGACAGCTGAACGGATTTGCCTTAAATGGTCCAACAATTGCTTTATAAGAACTTTCTTTTTTCAAATAATTGGCAATATCATCTGGAAAATCAGTAGCCCCCGAATGATTACGGGAAAAAGTAGACCTGAACGGGCTCCCATCGTGACCCACCGGCCATCCATACTCCAAGAAATCACAAACCTGAGCGTCACTATAATTCTGTAACAAGCTTCTCAACAAAAGAATATTAATTTTAGAGTAAATTGGAATTCTACAACCCTGAAAATTGTACAATCCAGATTTTTTAACAATATTATGAATAGTTACAAAATTTTGCATATCATTTGTACCCAAATAACTAATACAACAAAGAGTACATTTAAGTGAATGTCTAGAACCCCATAATGCTTTATGAAAATCAGGTAATTGAACATGTTGATTTAGTCATTCATTATGATGAGGACATGCAGAAGAACATTCAGGATGATGACTTTTAAGTTTGTCTAATCTATAACAAGTGGCACAAAAATGATTAACCTCACGTTCAACACCTCTAATCATAATTTTATGCGGTGATGTTTTTGAACATTTATTCTTCTGAAATAAAGAACAATACCATAACGTAGGTGTCTTGGACTCTTTTTTACCACCAAAAGAAGGCTTCTTATCGAACTCCTGTTTAACATATTTAGACAGAAGAGGAACTTCCAAATTATCAGGAGTATCTTTCCAGGTTTTAACCCCCGTTTCAATTTGTCTCAAAAATGCAGCGTAGAAGTCAAGTAAAGATTTCCACTGATAAATAGAACTGTAATATACAATTTTCTTCAAAAGAGACAACCTAGTATTTCTCTCGTCAGTTTTAATTTTGCTTGACCCAATTATTTCTAATTCTCCCGCAACAAACAGCTTTAAATCTAAATCTTGAAATGAAACAGATTTATTTATATATTCGTACTGAAGTGTAGTATGGGGCCAAGTTTGTGGATTCTGCACGTCATCGCTAGCTTTAGCAACCATACCCGATTTAACCTTTCGCTTTTTAAGTGATTTCTTTTTACATGACGAATCTGTACCTGACGTACTAGAAGTAGCATCATCAGTACTAGACTCGGATGAATCATAATCAGAACTATCAGATGATTTTAATATTACTCGTGACTTGTGTTTTGTCACCCTTGAGCTACCCGACTTTTTCAACTTTTTGGTCTTAACCGATTTAACCTTCGGGACATGAATACTGTCGTCCGAATCGGAATCTGAATATTGTAATTGAAATTTTGAACCTTGCTTTTTTAAAGATTTTTTTGAACGTTTGCGTAATTGCGAAGAAAAATCAAGCTCACTATCAGAACTATCTTGAGCAATTTCACTAGAATCGACTAAATCTATTAAAGTATTCTTTTTTAAAATATCTGATAATTGTTTTTCTACTAATTTAGTCAAAACTTTCTTTTTTCTTAATTTTTCTAAATTAATCTCACCCTTCTTTTTAAAACTTTTTGAGTCCCTGGAGTCTTTCCTTTTCGCTGGTTTTGTCTTCTTACCGGCTGTTTCAGTTGACTTTACTTTAGGTGCACTCGACTGGAGCTGGCGCGGTCTGCTAGAATTATCGCCTACACCTTTCTCCTTGACTAAATCATTAAGATTACTCGACTCCACATATTTACTTTTCAAGCGCGTTTTTGGAATTGCCCCCTGTTTTTCAAAATCGGCTTTTTCAAGCTTTCTTTCTTTTTCGGAAATGCTTACTTCTAAATTATGGATTCGATGTTCCAACCTATCTACTTCATCGTCAGGTGTAGTCTCATGATCAAAAATATCAGATGTCGGGTCCGACACATCGAGTACGTCCTCATGACCAAAACCAAATTCACTTATTAATTTATAATTTTTTCTTGCTTTATTTCGGGTTACAGGCATAATAAGCCTCCTGTGTAAGACACGGCAACTTGAAAAAATAATAAATTCTTGCAACAAATGACTTGATAAAAAATTAAAAAAGGAAAATTAACCTACAAAATAAGTACTTACGAAAAATAAAGTTACAAAAGTTTCAAAGTTCAGATAAATCAAATGTAGTTGCCATGCCTCACAGGATGAACTTCTAACAGAAAACACCACATTAGTTTTCGGCTATCAACGGCAGAATGAAAAACTTTAATTCCTTTAAATCACAAGTCTATAAAGGAACCAATCAAAATTCATTGTTATGTTATAAAAATCATAACAAGTTGTATCATTAGCTAAATGTAAAGAACCGAAATAATTCGAACAGTATAAAGTCTATTTCTTTAATCTTCAGTCGCCAATTATATATTTTTAATTAATTAAAAATAGCACGTATAAAATGCACTTTTTTTCACTCGGACTTCTATGTTTTTTGATAGTCAAACGGTTGTCCCCCTAAATACAAAAATACATCCACAAGAACATATGCTGAAACCTCTTAAATCCACTAACGTTTTTCAAAAGTTTCAAGCTATGTATTGCATTAGAAAACATACATAGGTGTTTAAGAATGACAGACCAGGAGCCTGTTTAACAAAATACTATGGCTTGATCTGGGCGGAGTCACTGATTTGCGTCACAAAGATGGCCATACGCGATGGCATAAAAGCAATTGCTTTAAAAACTGAGAAAAATAAATCAAATCTGTCCTACATAGGAGGTACACATCTTCAATATACATAGCAAAGTTTAAATAATGTTGAAGGAAAACTGTCTGAGTTAAGAATGACACAAACTAGGTATCATGTTTAGTATTCAATGACATAAACTAATAAGTTCCACACATAGGAAACCTGAGATAAAAGTTTAAAACTGTATAGGAGTTACAGAACTTCAATATGTGTGCAATCACTGTGCAAAGTTTAAATAATGTTAAAAGAAAAAGTTGAAGCTTAGCATGACACAAGCTAGGTACAATCTTTCTGAGTGTGGCAGTTACTAGACCTGCTCTAGACGCTGGCAAAGCAGTTAGCAGCTGGTTAAATTGAACAAGATATTAAACAGTATTATTGTGTTTTGTTTTTAGTGTGAAGCATTATCAGAAATTTACTCTTATTTTATTCATGAAGAAATGCACTTCACAAGTTGTGTCTAGACTTATTTTATCTAATGAGTTTTGTTTATTGTACACCATTTTATCTAATGAGTTTTGTTTATTGTACACCATAAGTGTAATCATTCCCCACAGTAAAACATCAAAGTGACCAAGGTAAAGTGAGAAACGGAACAGAAACGAAACAGAGCGTAACGAAACGAAACATGGCGAAACGAAACGAAACACAGCGAAACGAAACGAAACACAGCGAAACGAAACGAAACATGTAAATTGAGAAACGAAACACAACGAAACGAAACAAAATCTGTATTTTGAGGAACGACCTATAGAAAATCTTCCTGACCAGATATTTGCATAGCCGAAGACACCGAATATTCCATTCAAAATTACTCGTCATTTACATTGGCCAGTATAGATCTTCGTGCAATAATTGCAATAATCAACTTTTTTTTGTTAAATGTGAGGCTTAGGTGCGTCAGCTATGCTACTGAGCTTGTTCTAATATTTATAATTTCCCACGGTTCGATAGTATAGTGGGAAATTACTGTAAAAACGGTACTAGTGAATACTATTGATACGGGTACTTCGTATGTACACGGATGATGTATACATATCACGTGATATTGATATTAAGCGGGAATATTTTCCGGCCTAGTTTGTCACTTCTAGCCAAGCATCAGACTGGACAACAGTGAAATAAAGTTCATTTTCAATTGAATTGTTATTCTAATTTGTATTTAGTAGGTATTAGATATTTTACTAAAGAGTAACTAAGTTATTACTTATTACATATAGTCATGATATTTACTTTATATACAGTCCAAGTATAACTCTCGAGACGGTCTTCCGAGCATTTGGGTTTGGAAACAGGTTTCCCACATATTCCACTTTATTTAAAATGTAGTCTTTTGACTGCAGTTTAAATGGAGTTTGACCGAGGTAACTCGTTTTTGTTGGTCTTTCCTGGCCTAAGGGATCGTTGATGACAGAGCAAAATATTTTTGAATACAATTTATTAATTATTCTATTGAATTCTTTAATGAAAGTTAATTTACTGTGCATTGATACTCATGATTTATGTATATTGTGTTTATCAATTATATTTATATGAATAACATATGGGGTCCACCAGTATTGCTGGGCTATCGGCTATATATATAGTATTTAGTATTTATTGAGATGCCAAGAAATAGTAATTAGTAAAGTTGATACTAAGGCTTCTTGTCACGTGCAACAATGAGGGAACATTGACATTAGAATAGCTATTACTGTGGATCGCCTGAATACCAGCCTAGTCCGTCCAATACTAGGTTTAATCTGTTTGTTAAGGTAGATTAAATTACAATGGAGTTGTGTTCATGTCAACTTGAAACTATACAACAAAATATAACATGTTCATTATGACATGTTTTTTTTTAAATGTATGCAAAATTAGGAATTTGAACCATAATTTGCGATTCAATGAACATGAAAATTTGAGATTTTAAGCGAGTCACACTGTCCTATGGATACTTAACACATGACATGGGTAAAATCTCTTTGTTCTTACTGTGTTATTATCTGGATAATGCACAGGAAAAGTGTGCATTAACTACCTCAGATATACTGCACAGTTCAAAAGTACTCTTACCTTTAGGGGCGGACCCTCGATTTTGAAAGGAGTGTAATTCCATATAAAATTTTAAAAATATCACCAAGTGTAGCGAATATAAAAAATGTGATATGATTGCCAATGAGGCAACTCTCCACAAGTGACCAAATGACATAGTAATTAACAACTATAGGTCACCGTACGGCCTTTGCCAATAAGCAAAGCCAATACCGCATAGTCAGCTATAAAAGGTCCCGAAATGACAAATGTAAAACAATTCAAACGAGAAAACTAAACTAACGGCCTAATTTATATACAAAAGATGAACAAAAAACAAATATGTAACACTTCAACAATTGACAACCACTGAATTACAGGTTCCTTACTTGGGACAGGCACATTCATACAGAATGTGGCGGGCTAAACAAATTAGCGGGATTCCAACCCTCCCCCTAATCTGGGACAGTGGTGTAACAATACAACATAAGAACGAACTATAAAAATCTGTTGAAAAAGGCTTAACTAGTAATTTTTTGGGGCCCTTTATATCTTGCTGTTCGGTGTGAGCCAATGCTCCGTGTTGAAGGCCGTACCTTGACCTATAATGGTTTTCTTTTATAAATTGTAACTTGGATGGAGAGTTGTCTCATTGGCACTCATACCACATCTTCCTATATCAATGTAAATCTGAAATCAGTGTTTCCCAGTAAAACCAGATAAAACATTTTTTTTTGTAATTTCTGCCGAAAAAGAAATGTATTTTAGAATATCCAAATAAATAAAAATCTGATTTGGATTAGTTTCGTGCTCAATGGAATTAATTACGACTATTTAGATATGTATGCCTTTTAAGTTTTGGGATCGAATTTAACGAGGAACATATTTAAGTTTGTATCAAAACAGGTTTGGGGGATAAGCTACAGATCAATCAGATTTTGTTTAGAAGCGACATGTCTTTTAAATTGATACAGTAAAAAAATGGAGGTGAGGGGAAGTTAAAGATCGAAAAGTGTAACATTATTTTCAGTTTACATAATATTTGTAATTTAGGTACATCTCCACATGGGAAGGTCGAATATTCATATGTATTATATATGTATGGAACGCCAACACTGTCTTGTTATGACCATTTTCATTATATGATGTGCATTTACCTTTATATGATGTGCACTTGTCATTATATGATGTGCAAACACCTTTATATGATGTGCAAACATCCTTATATGATGTGCAAACATCCTTATATGATGTGCAAACATCATTATATGATGTGCAAACATCATTATATGATGTGCAAACATACTTATATGATGTGCATATATACTTATATGATGTGCATATATACTTATATGATGTGCTTATATACTTATATGATGTGCAAATATACTTATTTGATGTGCAAATGTACTTATATGATGTGCGAATGTACTTATATGATGTGCAAACATTCTTATATGATGTGCAAACATTCTTATATGATGTGCAAATGTACTTATATTATGTGCAAAGATCCTTATATGATGTGCAAATATACTTATATGATGTGCAGATATACTTATATGATGTGTACATATTATCATTATATGATGTGCAGTTACCATTATATTATGTGCAAATATCTTTATATGATGTGGATGTGTCATTATATTATGTGCTTGTAATCTTATATGATGTGGTTTGGTTTACTTCATTATATGATGTCAAAACGTCATTATATGATGTTCTTTCATCGTCGTTATGGTCAATGAACATGATTACGATTAGAATGATTACTGTCTACGTCATAACTGATTCCGATCTGCTTCTGTAAACTATAAACCCAGCTCAAATATGTGTCTATCGCTAGCGAGAGTGCAATTAATAGGAAAAATGAGACAATGCAATTTAACAAAATCAACGTTTCAAACATTTCGGAGGGAGATTAAGATCAATTAATACAGGAGCTAATTGGAGAAATTTGCGGCTGTGGCGAAAATATGATAAAACAAATTTTGAGGCTCTTTATAGCTTGCTATTTGGGTTAAGCAAATGCTACGTGTTGAAGGTCGTACTTTGACCTATGATTGTTTACTCTTACAAATTATGACTTGGATGGAGAGTTTTCTCATTGGCTCTCATACCACATCTTCTTATTTCTATTCATTGCAAAATGCACCATTGAACTCACAGTCAGTTTTAAAAATATTTCATAACAATAGCTATAAAATTATCTACTCGTGCATAATATGGCGAGATGGTTTGTCTTATAAAATGTTATTGAATAATATAAATGGTAAGATGTATAATGTAGTGTTGCTCCTACAAAACCATACAAAGTCGGAAATATTTGTGATATGACGTATACATGTAGTGTTTTGTACTTCCTTAATTTGTCTTTGAAACAATCTTTTTTCCACAGAAAAAGCCAAAATATCCAAATTTGGAGACCGCATGCTTAATTCACGTACTGCCCGCGAAATGCGAAATGGTCAGGTTGGGTAATGTTCACATATTTGTATATACAGATTGTTTATTTTCAACTTATTTTAATGGAGATTTTTTTAATTGCTAATAAAATTCTGCAACTTGAGTATGACAACAGATTTGGAGTGGCGTCAACGGTTTCTGAGATACAGAGGGGTTGATTCCTGGTGAAGTGTTTTGGATTTTATTTTTCATCCGATTAGATGGGATTTTTTTCATTGT